TAGTAGTAGTAGTAGTACTAGTACTCGTACTTGTACTAGTAATAGTAAATAATACTATAACTAAAACTAGTACTCGTAACAATACTAATAATAATAATAGCAATCAACATAATACTGATAATAATAGAAGTAATAATAATGATGATACTAATAGAAAAACTGATAGTTAAAGTAGTAATAGTAATAGTAATGGTAATAGTAATGGTTATAATAGTAGTGGTAGTGGTAGTGGTAGTAGTAGTAGTAGTAATAATAATAATAGTAGTAGTAGAAAAAGTAGTAGAAATAGTAGTACAAATAATAGTAGTAGAAGAAGTAGTAGTAGTGGTAGTAGTAGTAGTAGTAGTAGTAGCAGTAGCAGTAGCGGTAGTAGCAGTAGTACTAGCAGCAGTAGCAGCAGCAGCAGCAGCAGCAGCAGTGCTAGTAATAAAAATAGTGATAGCAATAGCAATAATAATAATAATAGTAGCAACAGTAGTTGTAATGATAGAAAATAATAATAAAGATTACAACAAAAATAATAGCTATGGCATCTAAAGGTTAGCAGGTAACTAATTGGTCTTTGTCAGGGTTTGTTTGAGGCTTTGTAAGGGGGTATTCAGGTATTGGTATAGGGGGCTCGATTTAATTGGTGATACAATTCCTTGGGGCCTTAATAACGTAGCTCTGCACTAAATACATACGCACAAAGCTTTAGTGTAACTAATAAGGCGCCTATGCACCCATACAGTAACCATTGTCGTAGCCCTTAAAGGAACCCTTACAGTATGCATTCAAAGATTTAAGGCCCCTGTATTACCCACATATGCACCAGCTCGAGATTCGTTGCATGAATCCTTTTTCATGTGTCTGGTGCCCAATATAGGGGCCTTGACAATTACCAATGCTGTTCCTGGGTAGTCCTGAATAGAACTATATCTTAATAGTACTATATCATACAATGTAAGTAATTGTGAGCGCAAAGGCAGAAGCAAACGCATTTATGTATGCATGCACGAAAGCGCACGCACACATACACACACACACACACACAAAGAGAGAGAGAGAGAGACATGGAAATGCGCATCCGCAGGCATACATGCGTGCATGTGTACTGGCTTGCATGCATACATACACAAAAAGAGATCGAGAGACACACCACACAAAAACATATTGGCGAGAGTAATACATTGCTTCCAAACAACACAAACAACACCTTCCAATAGCACTAAACCAATCGAACCCTATAAACCCTGTACACCGGTGGCCGGGGAGCATCGACATTGGAGAGCAGCCGGGGCAATCGGTTGACCCACCCCGGAAGACCACGTCCAGTGAGCCTCAAGGGGAGACGACTGCGAAGGATCTGGGGCTTCATGCACGACATGTGAGGATGCAGTTCTCTAAAGGGGAAAGCCTGAAACCGCTCAGGACTCGAGCTCCGCGGTGTGGTTCGTGGGTTGGGTTTGGGCTTAGAACTTCTGCATTGAAGGGTTTGAAGGACGTGGATTCTCCGACAGTCAGAGACAAGACTCGCACGCTTTGAGGATCAAGAACTCGACGAACGCTTGGAAGAGTAGTGCACAAAGCTTCAAAAATCTCGAACTTCGACTCAGCTTTCGCCCATCTCAGAATGGTATTCACCAAAGCTGGCACTAGGCAGAAGGGTATAAAGTCTACACTTTCTATTTAGAATCAGTGACCGTGCAAGGGGCTGGTCGAAGGGCCGGTTGACCAAACTTTGAAACCCGGGCTTGGGGTTTAGGAAATGAGTTCACAGTTGATGACGGTCGTCTTCATCATCATTCACATCATCCTCACGATGCTTCCTTTTCAGGAATGCCTACAAGATCGTGCAAAAAAGGTGAGATGCGGACGGAGATGTCCTCAGAATGAGGGTGCGAATAGGCTTTGCTGCTCATGGTATTCAAAGTTGGAGTGGTCAGAGCTGAGCACTTCGCATCTCGGTCAGAGGGCTGGGGCCCTACTTGGAGGTTCATGGGTAGTTATAAGTGGAGTTATAAGTCCCCTAATATGGGTTATAATTACAATTACCCTACTTATAACCCTACTTATAACTACCCATGAACCTCCAAGTACTATGCATCAGAGCAGCTCCATGCCGAACTCGTCCGCAAAGCTGCAGCAGTTGTGGTACAGTATGTCCTCGGTGTGGGGGTTTCCGAAAATAGGGGACCCTAATATAGTACCCTAAATCCTTATTATAAGGACCCCAGAATAAGGTACCCTAGTTTTCGGAAACTCCCGTGTCGCACGGACAGGGTGGATCCCAGCGTCGGCAGGATTGGGCGCAGACGCCGTATGCGATGGTGGTCAGCAGAGGATTGTGGGATACTGGGCTCGAACTGACTAAAAATTCCAACCCAGGCGTCATAGTCACCGGCATGCCACCGATGTCGCATCTCCTGACAGTAGCTAAGACCACAAGCGAAGGGCCACATATGCCCAAACGACAACCCCACAAGCTCTCTATCGCTCTCTGTTCAGATCTTCCAACATACCTTCCAGAGCGACTGGCCTCCCAGTCATCGCAAGAACAACGGCTCTGCTTCAGCCCGGGAAGATTCCGAGAAATGAGATGTATACTGCAAGAGCTGGGGGGTCCAGAAGACTGCTTCTCCGGCTCTACTGTTCGGTAACGTAGCAGCCTCAATCATTCACGTAGGGCTTTGGGGTATACCGTCGTACAACTATATAAGGACAGTGAAGGATCTTGTTACTACATGTTCCCGAACCCCATATGTAACAGTATGATAAACCTCATAGCTAACCCTTGTAGTACTCCTATATCGGGACTATAGTACAGGACCCCTATGGACCCTACTAGGACCCCTACATATATAGACCCCTTTTGGACCCTTACAGAACCCCTATAGAACCAAACCTTACAGCTAAACGAGTGGGTCTTCACCACTTCCGGCCCACCTCCACGAGTTCCTGTACTTGCGCCTGCAGGGTGCATTGTTAAAAGGAGACGGTGTTAGGGTTTCGGGTGCAGGATAGAGGGGATTAAGGGTCTTGGATTTCATAGGAGATTGGGGGATCAGGGCTTCGCGTGCAGTAGATAGGAGATTGGGGTCTAGGGTGGGACTATTTAGGGCCTAGCCTAAGAAACCCAACAAGAATGCTGGGACCAAAGCCACACATCTGAGGTCGAAGTCAGTTGTCTGCACTTAATACGTGGCACCCTGTGTCTTCCTCCTTCAGACAACCTTGGACTCCCTCCAACAACTGCAGCCTCTGTCTTCAGCGTCACACCAAGCCCAACGCTGTTGCGATAGACGTGCACCTAGAGACAGGGCAGGATGCTCTGCAAGTGCGTTTGGAATGAGCGAGCTGGCTCGGTGCTACCACGGTCAAGTCGACAAACGACACGCGAACAAAAGTTCATGCCGGACTTAGCTGCTACTCATAAAGGTGACTACGGCCGAAACAATAATGATGATCAAACTTGTAGATATAACCATGGCTGTAACAACCATCATTGCAACCAGAAACTATGCTTATAATCAACACTACTCATACATGTAACTATGGTTGTAACAATCACAATGACTATGGTTCTCGTCATAGCTACTCGTAAGTGTAAGTATGACTATGAGAATGATGATGCTAGTCACACTTCAAGATAAAACTAGCTGTGGGTTGTAAAGAGTAACAACAGCAATGATGATCAAACTCTCTCGGGCCGGGCACGTCGTGCTTCCGCGGCTCGTTCCTCGAGATGCCCTCGTCGCTGCCGTAGGACCACTCTCGGCCTGAAGTTTAGGGTTCCTTTAGAAGGACCTCGAAGGGTTACTATAAGGGTTATGCTCGAGTCTCAGGGTCGCCCATGTCTTGGGGTTTCGGGTCTAGGGGTCTGAAGCTTAGGACGGGGATTCCTTTAAAGGGTTCTTTTCATGGTTACCATGGGGTTCTATATCGGCTTAGTGGAGGGGTCGTTGAGGGGCTCATAGGAACAATAGGGGAGCCCTCATGATCAAAAGAACGGTTTACAGGACGGACTGCAGCGGTGGAGTTTAGCAGTAGAAATACTTATACAGTGGATACTAGAGCAGTAGTAGCAGCAGTAGTAGCATCAGCAGCAGGAATCGCAGACGCAGCAGCAACAGTAGTAACAGCAGCAGTAGTAGCAGCAGTCGTCGTAGCAGTAACAGTGGTAGCAGCAGCAGCAGCAGCAACAGCAGTAGCAGCAGCAAGTAGTAGTAGCAGTAGTGGTAGGAGTAGTAGTAGTAGTAGTAGTAGTAGTAGTAGTAGGAGTAGTAGGAGTAGGAGTAGTACGAGTAGTAGGGGTAGTAGGAGTAGTAAAAGCAAGAGTAGTGGCAGTAGTAGTCGTCGTTGTG